TAATTTATTCCTGTCATGCAAAGCTGAATTTTCAGCATAATTACTCCAGTTTTCAGTGTCACATGATCCTTCAGAAATCATTCTAATACGCATTATTTTTTTGGAGCCTATAATACTTTTTCCGGATTTTTTGATGAATAAAAAGTTTAGAAAAAGTTCAAAATAGAAATCTTTTCTACTGTTCAAAAGTTTGTGGTATGTTTTTTCATTGTTGTTGTTTTTGTTTTTTTTCTTTGAAAGAAATTAATACCTTTATTTAGCAAGGATATGTTAAATTTATAAAATAGTGATTGTTAAAGACTTAGTCTTAGACTGTTACAATAGTTTATTTATTTATTTATATTTATTTAATTATATAATAGCCTTTTGAAGTTTAATTATCACTTTAGGACGTATCACGATTACTGTTTTTCTACCTTTAAATTAAAATTGTAATTTTAATTAATAGTTGATCAAATTTAAATTAATTAATAGTATGTAATAATACCATTTAAGGTATTTAAGACTTTTTATTACTTTAAATTTCATAAAACTGAATTTTAATCGCACACATGCTCCTAAATACATTTCAGTGTTTGCACACATCTATTTTTATTCGCAAATGCGAGTGAAATGCTCAAACTGTCGCGCCCTGTAATTTTTATTTCAGTTGTAGTTTTGGTTATTTTAGTACATGACGTTACACTAAGTGAAAATGACGCATGTTTCCTGCTATGAATTTCCTCTAGCTGCTGAGCAAGACGACAGCAGAGAAGGCCGAATCTGTGCGTAACGATCACGGTGGAACGGCCAAGAAACCACAGCTCAATAACAAGCAGAGGCCCAATCAGAACGGCTGCCAGATACGCAAGCACTCGACTACAGCCGTCACCCCACCTGTGAAGGTACAGGAAATTGTCAAATTCATAGAAATACATTTCAGTATACACTGAATGAATTTCGTTGTATTTGTGTAGAATTACTTTCTTGATATCTTACTTTTTTCCTCTCTTTTTTTTCCAGAAAAAGCTCAAGTTAATGAATATCAAAGATTCATCCGTGGCAGAATCTGGCAAACATGGTGGAGGAACAGAGTCTCTTTTCTTTGACAAAGTGAGTTGCTTTGGGTTAACATAGGGATGCTGATGTAATATGCAGGTTGTTTTTATCTCAAACGTTTTGATTTCCTATTTTGACTTGCATTATGGGTGCATTCGTAGGTGCGGAAAGCTTTACGAAGTGCTGATGCATATGACAACTTTCTCCAGTGCCTGATCATTTTTAACGAAGAGATCATTTCTCGTGCTGAGCTGGTTCAACTTGTGGTTCCATTCTTGGGGTAAGTCCCGTTTGAAGTGAATTTTAATTAGGGATGTAACGATTCACTCAACTCACGATTCGATTCGATTCACGATTTTGATTTCACGATTCGATTCGATTCACGATTATTATAATTTTTTTTAACAAAATTAGATTTAAGACAAATTATAAATTAAATGTGTCCTTTTATTATTGCTTGGACAAAATGCTGCACATTTCTTTGTGAAATTGAAATATAACACTATAATAATATACTAATATAGCACTTGCATTATTATTGCTCTTTTGTTGGTTTTGATTGCTTCTATTGTCCTCATTTGTAAATCGCTTTGGATAAAAGC